CAGCAGATGAGGAGTGGCAGCAGATGGAGAGAGGCAGCAGATGGAGGGAGGCAGCGGAATTAAGGGGAGGCGCAGATGGGGGGAGGCAGCAGCAGATGAGGAGTGGCAGCAGATGGAGAGAGGCAGCAGATGGAGGGAGGCAGCGGAATTAAGGGGAGGCGTAGATGGAGGGAGGCAGCGGAATTAAGGGGAGGCAGCAGCAGATGGGGAGTGGCAGCGGCTGGGAGGATAGTCAGGGGTGCGATCTCTCTCTCTCTCTCTCGTTTACGGACTGGCGTTGGTCTGGGTTAGGAATCGTTGCGGCTGTACTGTCGAGTGTGAAACGAGAAATTGTGCTGGTCGATCGAGATAAAAAGATTGCTCATGTTGGTTCGTATTTGACGTGTAGCCATAATTATTTCAAAATGTCCTCACTTGGATGCTAGAGTTGATGTAGATTCGTCGCACAAATGCTTTGTGCTTATTGTTGCGGTTATAACACACGTGTTGGGTTGTATTGCAGGATGCATTGACGGGAATTATTCTGAAGCCTACTCTAGAGGAACGACTTAGAGATATTGCTATAACAACGCGGCACACAAAGAAGAACAAAGGCTTCTATAGGAACATCATGTACGTTTACAGGCGTGGTTGTCATTTTTTTCCAAAAACGCAAGATTTGGGTGAAACGTGCTAAAAGTAGTGATTTCCCCAAATGTTTTCTGCTTACTAAGATTAGAGTCATTGTCTGTTATTACTAGTCTAGTAAATTATTTTTGAGTAGTGACACTAGATATATTGATAGTAGAATTGTTTTTTACTCACAGGTTTTACGGTCCACCTGGTACTGGAAAGACAATGTTTGCTAAAAGTTTGGCACTACATTCAGGTATGGATATGTCACCTAATTGCTTTCCAATAACATTTTAGTCTTGAAGATGTATTTGCACAGGCATGTATGATAAGTTGTTGTTGGCGGAAAGTGTTATCAACATAATTGGCCAATGTATACAGAAAAAATGCTGGAATAATTTCAAAAGAAACTTCTAAAAGAAATGTGTGACTTACAAAGAAACATCGAGAATCAGTGTAACATATAAAATAAGGCTATATAATGCTTCTGCTGGGCATTGTAAGGTTGTTTCACTTCTAGTGCAAATTTACGAGTAAATCAGATACATAACAAGCAATGCGGGGGCCATCTGGGAAAGTGTGATTAGAACAGTAAATTTGTCGTAATTGAGTGTAATCAGTGATGTCGAGTGGTGAATGACGATGGTTCGTGCGGCTGTCTCGCGCAGGCATGGACTATGCGATCATGACGGGCGGCGACGTGGCGCCGATGGGTCGCGAGGGCGTCAGCGCCATCCACAAGGTGTTCGACTGGGCGAGCACGAGCCGGCAGGGCCTGCTGCTGTTCCTCGACGAGGGCGACGCGTTCCTGCGGAAGCGCAGCACGGAGACGATCAGCGAGGACATGCGCGCGACGCTGAACGCGTTCCTCTACCGCACGGGCGAGCAGTCGCACAAGTTCATGCTCGTCGTCGCGAGCAACCAGCCCGAGCAGTTCGACTGGGCCGTCAACGACCGTATCGACGAGATGGTCGAGTTTGACTACCCGGGCGTCGAGGAGCGCGAGCGGCTCACGCGGCTCTACTTCGACGCGTTTGTGCTGCGGCCGGCGACGGAGGGCGCGAAGCGGTTGAAGGTTGCGACCTTCAACTACGGCGCCAAGTGCACGGAGATCGCGCGCCGCGTCGACGGCCTGTCGGGCCGCGAGATCTCGAAGCTGGGCGTCGCGTGGCAGGCGGCGGCGTACGCGTCGGAGGGCGGCGTGCTCACGGAGGCGATGGTGGACGAGCGGGTTGAGGACGCCATCCGGCAGCACGCGAAGAAGGTCGCCTGGCAGGTAGAGCAGTCGTCGGCAGCGGGTCAGGAGACGAAGCTGCAGCAGCAGTACCGCTCCAGCAAGGATCTCGACGCGTTTGTTCCACCGAGCATCAAGGAGAAGTGATAAACGCTGTTCGGTAATCGATGCGATGTAATGTTACGTAGTCACGGAGCGGCCAGTGGCGTCTGCCGTTCAGTGGCAGTGGTAATGCAACAGCGAGTACTAGACGTGGTTGAGGAATCGTAGTCGGGCAGGTTGCGTGCCATGTTAGTATGGTTAGAAAACGTTGTATGGAATGCTATCTATTGTTCATAGTGGATTTCCATCGAGATTGTTACTATTAGTGTAAATGATCTGTTATTTAATGCTAACAGAGAATGATTTCCTTACGATGAACGTGTTATTGTAACAAATTAAACATTTTTACTCCCTTGTTTAAGTTCTGAAGTTGTTAAACCTCTTTTTTTTCACAAACGTGTTTGTGTTTTAGCACATCGAGTCTGTTGAGCGCATAGTGGCACCTATTTATATGCCCAGAATTGGGCTTTGAAAAGACTAGTAATGAGCAATCGAAAGCTTCCTCAAGTTTTATTTAGGATAAGTGATTTTGTGAGTCTAGGCACAAGCTTTTCAAGTAACATTTTGAATTCCTACTGCAAGTGCAGTTCGCAGTTTTGACAGCGAGTTGCACAGAGCAAGATGTTGCGCAATGATTTTTAGCTCAACAGCTGTAGGTATACATTACTTGCTTCTTGTTTACCCTTGTGATACGGCTGCCAATCCTATCATGGTGAAGACATTTTTGCTCGTGCTATAAGCAACGTTGTAGAATATTATATTAAATAAATTAAAATTAATTAACAAGATTAACAAGTCTGCATAATTATTTTTGCAATTGTGAGTGATTGGCTGGCTATTGTTATTGCGTAATTGTATCACGTATTTTGACAGTAGCATTATGCTGAAACATTGACAACAGTGATTAGGTACCTACCTTAAGCTGGGTTTACACTGCCAACTTTGTGTTGGCGAATTGGACCAACTTCCCAACGCTCTATCAACCGTTCTATGAACTGTGCGGTGCGTTTACACTGACGACTGCGAGTTGGCCAACTCGGTCGAGCGGTCAGTATCGACCGCGAGCGTACGCGTGGGCATTATAGGCATATAGGCATATAGGCATTATTGCATGTATAAATTCGCGAGGTACCGCACGTAAGACTCGTGCACAGTCACAGAGACAGGATGCCACGAGGGCAGTGGATTACCAGAGGGGTTGCCCATTGGATTTGTCCATGCTCGTACTGTCGACCTCCTCCTTATGTACACGTGCGCGTGTACCCCCCTCCCCCCCCCCGTGTACAACAGGTGTAGGTAAGTGTGTCTGCCGTACACAGATGGACATGACCGCACGCGTGTATGTATATACTTGCATACACGCGTGCGTGCATGTAAACCCAGCTTTACTGAACTCACTATACTCACTAGGGCAGTCGAAATGTGATACTGGTCAGGCTAGTATCTTGTAATACATTTCTATTATAATTATATACATGTGTGTTTAAACCATAGCTTAACCCACCGACAGATGGCGCTGTAAGCACACCTATGTTTAATCACTCGTTCGTCGCCTGCTGGAAGCAGCGACAGTGGCAAGTAGACGGACACTCGGCGTCGTACTATCGGCGCAACCCTTACCGTTGACGCGTCTCGCACAATCGTCGTCGTCGTCGTCGGCGTCGTCGATAACTCCGCGCACACACACGCGCTTCCTGGCATAACATTGGATTTGTATAACTCAAATATTCAGATTTGTGTTATTGAGGCGTTTATAGTAGAACCGCGGAGAGGATGGGAACCGTTGATAACCTTCGGCGCGGGTTGCTGCTCTTCCTGGCTGCGTCGTTCTCAACACCAGAAGCGGTTGCTGAGATAGTATTCATGTACAGTCCAGGTAAGTCTTCTCATGTGCGGTAGTCTAGAGTGACATGTGTATTTATGCGGCGTATTTGTCGTGTTATTGTGAACAGCTTCGCTTGTCGCGTGTTGTTCGCGCATTCTTCCGTGGCAATCATATGCAAGCTTATAAATCTAGCGTGCGTGATGTGTGTTTCCATCGGCGTCGATACAACATATTTATAATAATACCGTGAAGCAATAATAAGCAGAACAGTGATACCTGGAAACGTATCAACTACATCATGCTAATGTATTATTTCGACACAAAGAAAGTACGATCTTTTCATATCTTTAAGTGAATTTCGATGTGTGTTTTTATTTCGCTTCCTTTCCTGGTTCACCGACGATTTATAGGTGATAACTAGGTTTGCATTCAGCGTGCCTGACATTTATTCGCTACAACCCGACAACTTCCGCAGAGTATCCGCCGGTAATGGTGTGACCGGCGTTTGAGCGTGTGCGATGGTTGCCGCTGCGCTGTTACCCCGCGCACGTCTAAACTCTACGACGTAATAAAATTGTACTAATAGCCGCCGTGCGTGCGCCGCCGCAGGGGCGCGCTGTTGTCGTGCGACGGTATGTTGTGACGGCTGTGTATTAAGTAGTATAGTGGTGACCGTTTATAGCATGTAGAGAATATACTGTAGCGCATAGCGCGTGCGCGCGTGTATACGCACGCACTCGGTCGTACTGCTTTAATAGCAGGAGGTACGTAGCGCTTGCAATCGTCGTTCACTCAGAATAACTCGTGCTGCTGCGCATATATTATCATAATATGAACGAACGGATTAAGAAGCGAAGAATCTCCTCGCCTGCACGTACGCGTAAGTGCGTATGTGACACCGCCGGTCGTGTGCGCATGCGCGCCGCGAGGTCGTCGATGTGGGGAGAGGATTAACGCTGTCCGTCGGCGTGCCGCGGCGGCGGCGTACGCTGCGGACTAACGCGCCTGACACGCTGCGATCCTAATTCTCACGCGGTAATCAGCGGTGGCCATAGATAGGCTAATGAAATCACTGGCAAGAGGCGCCGAAGCACAAAGCGACGCGATGAGGGGAAATCCATCATTTAAATCGACAAGCATCTGAATAGATAAGCGCAGAAGGGTAATGGAACGCCCTCCGATACCCTGGTCGGATTGCGCCTCCCAGTTACAATGTCGTGTAGACGGGCGTCCGCTGCGAGGACGCGCCGCGCACATCCTCCGCTTAATTCCGCCCGTCAGACAGACGAAATTAGCTAGAGTGCTTCGCTCTCTGCATCGCTGTTAGTTACCTTATATAGGATTGGATGAGTCTGTTGTATCGCTGTACATTACAATTGCACTGCTAAGCCTTTATATGGTAACTACAACCGCACGGCCTCGCGCGCTGATTCGATAATGATCATTACAATGCGTGAACGTCTAGCGATGCTGACGCCGACGACAACGATGACGATGTTGACGGACTGATAAGGCTAACTGTTTATATTATAATGATTCTGTTTCCGAAATTTGCACCGCCGTGAACCATCGATTGCCTCTGTATACGTCTATAAGACATCGTAGTTGGTTCGGCCACGTAGGCGGCATATCAGTTCACACGCGACGCGCACCTTTATAAACCCTAATCACGTGCGAATGCACTTAGAAATCGTTACCTGCTTAATAATTCTAACATACAAGCTTCCGACAATCTCTATTTCGCACGCGCTCTCTATTTATGCTGCCATGGTTGTTATACGAACGGAGAGCTCTATAGTACGGCTATTTCGCATTAAATACTTGTAGCAACGTAGCTGCGGCCCTGGCAATGTAAAGTGTTTCCTTAGTTCTAAACGCCTTGATTTTATTCTTCGATTGTTAACGTACAGTGCGCGTGTAGCAAAACCGTGTATGCGCTTTTAGAATTTAGCGTCTATATGAGGTTGCTAAGTGTTAGTAAATCGTATAACATCTCATGTGCGCGTGCACACATGCGCACGGGCATGCACACAATTTGCGTTTTTGTCTGGCCTGCGTATAGGCTTTTTAGTTTTTGTACGATTTTACAAGACCCAATTTTGTTTTATTCTAAATCTACACCTAGAAGTATCGTAGCGTTCCAATATTTATATGAGAAATTCAGCTAAACTTACAGACTGACGATGGTGTGAAAATGTTTGCGCTAATTTTTATGTTTTGTTATTCCATTACTCTCGCGACAGCATTCAACATCGCTGTATCAAATTAGATTGATGTTTACTCCTCATCCCAAAACACTAAAGCTTGTCAAACCGACATATACTTGCTGCATTCACCCGAACCGAGGGAGATTTTAGTCTGCGAGATAATCATATGATATGCCCTGTCTGTATCTCTTCAATTTCTTTCCCTCATCGTCGTCATCATTATCATTATCATAGTCGTCATCATCATCATCACCATCATCATCATCATCATCATCATCATCATCATCATCATCACCATCATCATCATCATCATCATCATCATCATCATCATCATCATCATCATCATTACCTCTCTCTATCTATCTATCTCGTTCTCTTCCTTTCTCTCTTTTTCTCGTTCTTTCTCTTTCTTTCTCTTTCTTTCCTTTTCTTTCTCTCTCTCTTTCTCCTCGTCCTCCTCTTCCTCTCTCTCTCTCTCTCTCTCTCTCTCTCTCTCTCTCTCTCTCTCTCCAGCTCTCTCTTATATTTTTTCTCTTTCTTTTTCTCTCTCTCTCTCTCTTTCTCTCTCTCACTCTCGCTCTCTCTTTCTCTTTCTCTCGCTCTCTCTCTCTCTCTTTCTCCTCCCCCTTCTCCTCCTCTTCCTCTCTCTCTCTCTCTCTCTCTCTCTCTCTCTTTCTCGCTCTCTCTCTCTCTCTCTCTCTCTGTCTTTCTCCCCCTTTTCGCGCTCGCTCGGTTGCTCGGTCTTCAGCTTGCTCACTCTCTCATACTTTCTTAATATTATAGATTTTCGCTTATATCGCTGTTGGTTGAACGGACAGCCTGTGTCCTGAACCCGCTGCGAGGGCTTCACAAAGCTATCGTACTGCGAAGCAATGTCTCCAAGTATCCGGCAAACCAGTTATCTTCTACTATTTGATTACTTTAATTTTAAATGGGGATTGTGTATCCGGTCACTATTGATCCATGGACACAAGCTGATACGCTAAGATAATCTCGTGTCCATTTAGATTATTAGATCTGCAGCAGAAGACCAATATCATTCAAATGATCTGATTTTTGAGTGAGGCTTGTGCGCGTGCTGACGAGCGCGTGCAATGCTATCCCTCGGTCGATTATTATTTACATTATGATAACATTGATGCTAACAAGAATCGATGTAGTGTGTAGACAAATTATACTTAAGAAGTTAGATTGATCTGAGCTGCATGACTTTTTCGCATAAACACGGACGGTTAACAAGATGCGACGTTGCATGTTACGAGGACAGAATCAACTTCGTACGTGGAATTCATCGGGTGGGAGACCGCGCATATCTCTGGAAACTAGACTACAGCTATAGACGCCACACATGCATTCCGTGCCGAGCAAATAATAAAATAAGCTTCTTGTAGATCACGTGAAGAACTTCAGCATCGGTCATCACTTCTACAGGACGATGACCCTGGACGAGGAGTCGCACACTCTCTACGTCGGCTCGATGTACGTCGATGAAAACGTCGCATTGATGCACTGTTCGCGTGTAATTTAATCTCATCTAATCGCGAATGCATGTCATATATGACACCGGTGAGTATTTCAAAAGGATTTATCGACGAGGGCGGACGCGCGGTCGGCTCTTGATTCGCATCCGTCTCCATGATCGCTGCACGGACATAATCGACTCTGCCTGTCTCCATAGCTGTCTCACATTGCAGCTTTTATACTCATCGAGGCTTGTCTCGCTTTGACAATTGACTATATATATATATATATATATAGAGAGAGAGAGAGAGAGAGAGAGAGAGAGAGAGAGAGAGAGAGAGGAGGGAGGCAGGGAGATGAAAAGAAGAGCGAGTGGTAACGAGAGAGAAACGCGAGTTTGTCCGCGCGTAACGGGGAGAGTGAAATGAAGCGAAAGAAAGGGGACGGAAGAAAAAAAATGATGATTGATAAACTAAACAATTAGCTATATTCTTCTCGTTCTTTAATCTGCCTCACTTTTACATATATATATATATACATATATATATATATATATATATATATATGCGTGCGTGCGCGCGCGCGCGCGCGTGTGTGTGTGTGTGTGTGTGTGTGTGTGTGTGTGTGTGTGTGTGTGTGTGTGTGTGTGTGTGTGTGTGTGTGTGTGTGTGGTGTGTGCGTGTGTGTGTGTGTTAGATTTTCATGGCGGTATACGTTTATCTACAGGAATTTCATTCACCGGTTAAATCTGTTTGACATCAGCAATACGGGACTAAAGGTAACGCTATGACTAATCTAACTACTACAAATATTTTACTGCTTCTGATGACCAACTCCACCAACCAATCTTATTCCTATCAACCTTATTTTTCACAGCTCGGGCCCTATTAGCTAGCCTCCTTCTGCTACCTCTAACCCTATAACACACAGAGATTCGTCATGCTGCACTCCTAACCATATGCATACACCGTATCGCCTCATCCATTATTACTATGAGTCGAACCCTTACAGATCCTTCTCCTCACTTCAAGATACTTGCAAACGTATTCGCTGTATACCTGCAACGCCTATAGTTTCTTTACCGTGCTCAAGCTAACCACACTCCTCCTATATGCATGCCATTCCATCAAACCCAAACGCTTCTAGAAGCCTCACCCTCATTGTATAATAATAACTAGCTAATCATAACTTTGTCGGATGCCTGCATGCCTGCCGCTCTCTTTCTAAACCAGCCCAGCGCCTCGTGGGTGGCACCACGGGAAATGATATTTCTGCATCGCCATATGCAATTCATGTCCTACCAGCTCTTAGAGACGTGCTATGAATTTAAAAAATAATTACCATTTGCCGGTGTCATCTACGCGGGGATTATGCAAAATATGTTTTGCCAGCCTACGTCATCAATAGCGAGTCGTAATATGCACTTCTCATCGTAAAACGGGTAGGCCAACTTGTCCCATAACGTGAGAGCGAGTCTCGCCTTGTATACAAAGCCGTTCAACCGCATTTTATGTTTACATGGTTAATGAAGTTCGCTGAAGCGGAGATGAAACCAACGTACCTAGGAGCGAACAGCCAATATCTGGATGACCTCTGCACACACGAGGTAGTATTAAATTACGTAGACAAAAAATACATGCGAAATATTCTTCCTTCCCACTACGAAATTGGCGAATCATTCACGCCTACACGTGGAAGGCTGCGGGGCAGGGTGTGTCACGTATATCTGTGCGATGTTAGGCATTAACCTGTTGTACTCCGAGTGACAACATCTGTTTGGCTACATAGTATCGTACCATCAAAAGCTAATAATACCTATAACGGAATATATATATATATATATATATATATATATATATATATATCAGAAGTAGATAATAGGAAATTTTTTCTGTAAAAGTCCCTATTATCTACTTCTAATATATATATATTTATTTATATATATATATATATATATTTGTGTGTGTGTGTGCGCGCGTGCACGTGCGTGCGTGCGTGTGTGCGTTCGTGCGCGTGTACGTGTACGTGCTCGCGACACAGCAATTTCAAAATACACGGGAGGGTCAAATCACGTATAAAATCAGCAACAAAATCATTGCGCGATTACCCGCGTTATCATATATAAGTAGTATCTTAATAATTCTGACGAAAAAGCGTGACTGTCATTTGAGGAATTCTCCGAAGCAAGTAATCGCTTTTTCAGCCGCATAAATGCGAAAATCATATTCGAGTGATTCTGAAGACTGCAAGCGACAAACTGTATGTGTGTGGCACGAATTCTTTCAGTCCGAAAGACTGGCTCTATGATGTAAGTATATAACGCACACGCTCGCTCGCATAGCCGTTAAAGCTCCCGCAATAAGGAACGCACTAAGCTGCATGGATAGTCTTGATTTTATATCCTCTATTGAGAAGCATTTAATATGCACGCCACTGTTCATTCAATTAATATTTTTAAAAGAGTAGCTGCCACTTTAGACTGATTCCTTTGCGTTGCGTTGCCCCGCATTTATACGCGTCATTACAGTGCAGACAGTGTGAAGTGATATGATGTCGGACCAGTCTATTGTGCCTGGTATGATTTGATCGTTTAACTAGAACGGAAGAAACATTTTTATTCAAGATTTATATCAACATTAGAGCTAGTCCTGCAAAGAAATATAAATAATAAATATATTTATTATAATGCGCCGGAAGCCTGTTTATTTGTCTTTAATTTGCCGTTCTACAGCAGATTTAACACGGCAGCATATACGAGTATTAAATGGGGTTCTAATAACAACGTAACTAGTAGTGAATTTCTACAGCAGTTTTAACACGGCAGCATATATATGAGTATTATATGGGTTTCTAATAACAACGTAACTATATAGTGAATAGCAGTAACAAACGCAGACGATTATTCGCACCCTGAGCTTGAATATTATGTATTTGTGTCTGAGGAAGAATGCATGTGCGAGCGAGCACGCACGTCGGAGTATTGTCATCCATATAGACTAACCAACTTCAACTAGTCCTTAATAAGCAGTTATTGTGGGAGCCAGTCGCATGGTATTCCGCTTCATGCAACAGATTTGCACTGACTAGGGACAGCGTTTCTTTCCTAAATATTCAAAAACGGTCATTTAAAATGAATAGACAGGTCCCAATTAAATTCGCGTGTAATGTGAGTCATTCGATAAACACGCGATCGTTATAACTTTCTCTCCCGGCTATTAGACACACGTATTTGAGCATGCGTTCATAAATGCCTGCATGTAATGAGGATTGCGTTTTTTATCTCATGCATACAGGAGCACGCGCCTGAGAGGATGTGATTGACATTTTTTCCGAGCGAAAAGCTATTATCCAATTCTTCTGCGTTGCGTGCATTGTTAATGACATAAGTTTTCCCATCAATCTTGTCATTAAGTTGCATCGCTAATGCAGTCAACAATTACCATTGACGGCCGCGGAGGATACTATGCCGTTCACTTAGCATAATGACTTTACATGCTCATTATTTGCTTTTTATGCTCGGATGTCCTGCTTGTTATGATGCGCACACCTCAAGTTGTAAGATATAAACGTCCCTCACCCATCAACCAACACCATTCTTTCACCCACTAAGATACTCGTACTAGTCACTCACCAACCTATCAACCTACATTCACTCTCCCACCCAACCATCTGCATACACCTACCCCACCCTACCACGTAACATTCTCTTATCCTCATGCCTGCCTCCCATTCACTTACCCGACAATTCGCTCTTCTACGACCTAAATCTCCCACCCATTAAGATTCCTCCCGAGTCGCCTATCCAAGCTTATTCCATCTGACCACTTACTTATATATGTATATATAATAGATATATATATATATATATATATATATATATATATATATATATATATATATATATATATATATACTCCTGTATAGATCACCTACTTCACATCCCCACTCCCCGCAACCCCGCACATGTAACCGCATGCAAACTCCCGATCCACTACCACTCATTGGAATTCATGCGTAAAACGAAAATCGCTACAGGGCTGCAATCCGCGTATAGCAGCGGCTCAACGGGGCGAGCCTCGAGGCATGGCGACGAACGATGGCCGCCCTTCACGACACGCACTAACTACGCTTTGATCGGCTACACGGGTTCCTGCGCGCAATCTTCCTTATTGAATAAGACCAAGCGCTCTGGAAGCAACTTCATTTCGCTCATCGATTTTACGCCGAAACCAACGCCACATTTAAAAGACAACTGCTTGCTTAAATTACCATAAAAGGCGAGTTCTGGAAATCCATTAGAAGAGCGGACTTTGCCGACCGAAAGCCGGACAGCGCCATGTTGTTCATCGGAAACAGGAAACACGGACGATCCGATCACTGGAGCTTTATAGCTGAGAGTGAGGCAACATCGGGTTGTGCAAACTGGTACTGTAGCGCAGTGATAGAGACAGAAGGGGGAGAGAGAAAGAGGGGGAGACAGCAATGTGCAGTATAGACTGACTTTATCAATTAAAGACGCAAGCGCACAGCCACACGTGGTGTGAGGGGAGAGAAACATAGAGACAGAGTGAGAGAAGGAGTCAGCGCGAGAAAGAGAGAGAGAGAGAGAGAGAGAGAGAGAGAGAGAGATGCAGTGAGAGGAGAGAGAGAGAGAGAGAGAGAGAGGAGGGAGAGAGAGAGAGAGACAGAAAAGAAAGGGTGTGCGAAAAAGAGGGAAAAGTGAGCGATAGAAAGAATGCGATATAAACGTGAGGAAGTATCTGTATAGAGCGAAGGGGTGGAGTGAAGAAGCGAGAGAGATGGCACAAGAACGCAACTTTGCACTGCGTAATTTACTCTCATCTAACTTCTCACATACGAAGTCCGTAAAACGCGTTTTCGCGTCTGCGCGCCAAACTTCATGCATCATTTTACATAACAGGGCGTCGCATAGCGCGGCTTTCTGCCGCGCACACTGCTAATTGTGTAGCCTAACGACCGCAGCATCGCTCGACGCCTGCATCCAGGGAACCGCTCAATGCGACGAGCGTGGCTTGTGCGTCGTTCGTCTCGCCTGTCAGCCTGCAGCCGCTCGGTCGTCTGCTTCGTCTGCATGAGTGCGTTCGTTGAGTAGCGACCAGATTGCGCGCTGACCGCTGCACGAAACACACTGGCTGCTTCATGCTCACTGCGCATGAGCAGAGACCTTAGCATTGTTTCCCGCACGTCATGCGCGGGATGCACTATGTGTACTGCGCAGACAAGAACTTCTGTGAAGACGAGATTCTGATCAGCACGTGAAGGCCATTTATGATGACCAGAGAATAGCGTGCTGGAACAATGTCACCGAGTTTCTTAGTTTCACTTCTTCACTTAGTTCATTAATAATATTGTTTTATTATTATTTTTTAAGTTAGCTAACGCGGCAGTTTCAACAGCCGATCTCGTTTTTTTTCAGCTGTTATGCATCGAACACAACGGGAAGAATGTGCGTTCACGTGCGTTTTACCATATCTTGGTTGTATATACCGCGCTGGCTATGACCACTGTATGCAGCCGCCGTCAGATGTTAGCAACGCGCGCCCAGCGACACAGATAATTCAATGCAGTTTTTCCACACTTCCTCCTGTGAACTCACATAATGTTTCTCGGTCGAAATGAACAAACAACACCCTCAACAACACCCCTTTCTATTTTAAAGGGGCTACCCCCCATGAAGCCCGGAAAAAGCGTTTTTCGCGTCTGCGCGCCAAACTTCATGCATTATTTTACATAACAGGGCGTCGCATAGCGCGGCTTTCCGCGGGAGCATCACCCGCAATAACACCCCTCTCGATTTTAAAGAGACATAGGTCTCAATCTGGCCATGCTCTCTATCTTTGAACCTAGGTGTGCCTATACAAAATTCTATTATATTCGTTTTTGCGCGTCGAATTGTTTTGGTGGATGAGTGAGTCTCGGTAAATGCTATCAGGGGTAGATAATGACAAATTTGTCATTATCTACCCCTGATGCTATGTAATGGGTGAATCCAGTCTATGTAGCAACACTGTTTGTTAGTCAGAGCTTGGTATAAAGGCTTGAAAGCCTGACAGGGATAACTATCTAACTAAATAACGACACAATTCTTTACATTGTAAACGCGCGCTCGCTTACTTAAAATTCAAGAAAAGATTCTGCCCAGACAGTAATTATATAGAGCTCTAGAATGATGGAACTGAATTTATAATCCATTAGTCGTAACATGCTGTATATATTCACACATGCATATTTAATTCAGCCCCTAAAGTCGCACATCGAATGAATCAATTGTGAAACAGGCTTTTATGGCGTACGAAACTATGCCGCGAAAGAGAGGTTATTGCTCTTCGTTGTATAATTGCATCTCTATAGCGTCTCTCAGTCTACGGCGCACCGCTGCAATGCACAAATAAACAAATTGACTGGTCAGAGATTCTTTTGCAGGTGGACCTCCGAACGCGTGACATCTACCCTCCATATGGGGACGGCATAGCCAAATGTCCGTTCGATCCCGAAAACACATTGACGGCAGTTTGGGTTGGTGTGTATGATTCGGCTGTTACTGCGTTCTGTAAATTAGGCTTTAATTAGATTTACCATCTAAACATATCCACCGTTTAATAAACTGTAGAATATTTGATGATAGCCTTGGATAGCTGGGAATACTCTGAGATCATTAGTGATAGCATGGAATTGTTGGGAATGGGCTTGATTGGTTGTGTGTGTGTGTGTGTGGGGGGGGGTGCATACTTGGTGATAGCATGGAATAGCCACAGTTTGAGGAATGGCAAACAATGCCACGTACGGTAATATCAGAATGTCGAGAACAGTTAGAGATAATGGTAATCGTTTCTACTCTTGACGCTCTCATTTTCACCTGTGATATTATGTTTGTGCCTATAGAGACGGGAAACCCGGAGGACATCGCATCAGTTTACTCTGGCACGATGGCTCACTTCCGTGCAGACCCGATCTTATACCGACCAGACCTAAACATTCACGGATACAGAATCTACTCCTATCTGCGCACACTGAAGGCCGACACAAAATGGCTGAACGGTAGCAGACGACAAATATCCGCGCGCGTGTTATCTACATCTGCAATACTTACTACATTAATTCTGAAGAAACGTATAACTTATGCAGCATCACTGCAGATGACACGGAGCGATGATGTTGGCGTATATTGGTCGTACCTCTCTGGTTAGCTAAACTTAGCTCGGCAACATCGGTTTAACATTGTGATCGTCGCGTTTGAAATATTAATTTCCGTCACACGTACATTGGATTTGCATGACAAGTAATATTGTAAAGGTTAGGATAAAATAGAAGTGCGCGCGCACGCCACCTTGTTGCCAACACAACACAGTTCTGTTCGCTTTCTTCTATAGTACGAACAACCTTTTTAATTTCCTATTAAATGTGATCCTCTTTTAATGTATTTTCGTCATGTAGAACCATGGTTTGTCGGCTCCTTCGACATCGACGAGCATGTCTACTTCTTCTTCCGCGAGGTAGCCCTGGAGCACATGAACTGTGGCAAAACAGTGTTTTCGAGGGTAGCGCGCGTATGTAAGGTAGTTACTGCTCACTATACCTCGTAAAAGCCTTTCCACGTTGTACTGAAAAAATATTATATGCAAAAATAACCGTTCGCTCACGGGTAGTCCGTGTTGATACATTCTGATACGATATGCATTACTCTATAATTGTCCTATTTTAGCTTCTTGATGCAACTAATGTATTATAAATGCACGTGTAAATCTATTTACAGAATGATAAAGGTGGCAGGAATGTCTTGCGGGAAAACTGGACAACGTACCTGAAGGCCAGACTCAATTGCTCGATCCCGGGAGAATTTCCTTTCTCGTTCGACGAAATACGTAATTTAAATTACATTCTGTTTCAGCGAATTATATCAGTTTTAGTTGAACATGACAGCGCTGTAGCCATTCCTTTTATCTGCGTAATATTCAAATTTAATACGGACATTTGCGTTGCATTACGTAATGTGCCTAAACTAACGCTGCGGGATCTAATAGAGGCTCCTGCGCCGATGAAACGCTATATATATATAATATCAAGAGCTAATAAATACCTGGGGTTTATTATATTTATAGGTGTTTACTAGCTATTGATAATATAAGTAATTCTTATCTATGCATAATTATAACTAAGAATGCAACGCTGAGAAGTTTAGGAAGACTTAATTGAGAGCTTTAGTATATGTATTGCTCATTCGCTTCCCTTACGGCGCAAGCTGGTCTGCTCCACACTGAGTGGGTTTAGCAAACAACAGAGCTCACCCTCATGTGTGCGTAACACGGTGGCGTTTTTACTTGGTTTTACGGAAGAAGAAGGACTGTATCATCAAGCTATTCAAGATAATAGCTAATTAAATAAGTTCATTCGGTTGGTAGACTAATGATTCGACTCCTGATAGGAGGCGAAATGTCAGCTGTACGTTTTCAATCTTCACGGTTGAGTACCAATTAACCGAGATAGATCTAAGATAATAGCTATTCTCTTATTTGGTATATCAATCTTATTATCAATCGTATTTACTCTTTGTTACAAAACGATGTAAAATTAAAACGCGTCTTTTTTTCTTCATCTACAGGTGATGTTTTTCAGCTTCCGGGTGACACGTCCAAGTTCTATGCTGTATTCACCACGCCGTCGTAAGTCTTTTAGACGACTGCACGACAAACTTATAGAATAAACATGAATAAACCGTACATCTTTCAGATTTTCATAACGTAACTGCTATGAAAACGCACTTCGTTTCGCCATGTCTTTAAGCTGCTTGCAATCTGTACGTTGAATTCCTACCATCGACGCTAATATAGCCGTTTTGTTCAATCTTACTATATTTTTATCAAATTGATCTAATGTTTTTTAACACACACTTAACAACAATGGACGTATTTTTTCAAGAAATGGACTAATGGGTTCCGCGATCTGCGTGTTTAATGAGAAGGACATCGAGTCTGCATTTCAAGGTGCATTCAAAGAGCAGGCTTCACCAACGTCGACGTGGCTGCCCGTTTCAAACCGCTTGGTTCCACAACCCAGACCTGGCCAGGTATGTCACTCAGTAGCATTCATAAATTTACCACAGCACAACTTCCACAAATGCGGGCGGAATTAACAAATGTGGACATTATCAAATAAATGAAGATATATATATATATATATATATATATATTTGTGTGTGTGTGTGCGCGCGTGCACGTGCGTGCGTGCGTGTGTGCGTTCGTGCGCGTGTACGTGTACGTGCTCGCGACACAGCAATTTCAAAATACACGGGAGGGTCAAATCACGTATAAAATCAGCAACAAAATCATTGCGCGATTACCCGCGTTATCATATATAAGTAGTATCTTAATAATTCTGACGAAAAAGCGTGACTGTCATTTGAGGAATTCTCCGAAGCAAGTAATCGCTTTTTCAGCCGCATAAATGCGAAAATCATATTCGAGTGATTCTGAAGACTGCAAGCGACAAACTGTATGTGTGTGGCACGAATTCTTTCAGTCCGAAAGACTGGCTCTATGATGTAAGTATATAACGCACACGCTCGCTCGCATAGCCGTTAAAGCTCCCGCAATAAGGAACGCACTAAGCTGCATGGATAGTCTTGATTTTATATCCTCTATTGAGAAGCATTTAATATGCACGCCACTGTTCATTCAATTAATATTTTTAAAAGAGTAGCTGCCACTTTAGACTGATTCCTTTGCGTTGCGTTGCCCCGCATTTATACGCGTCATTACAGTGCAGACAGTGTGAAGTGATATGATGTCGGACCAGTCTATTGTGCCTGGTATGATTTGATCGTTTAACTAGAACGGAAGAAACATTTTTATTCAAGATTTATATCAACATTAGAGCTAGTCCTGCAAAGAAATATAAATAATAAATATATTTATTATAATGCGCCGGAAGCCTGTTTATTTGTCTTTAATTTGCCGTTCTACAGCAGATTTAACACGGCAGCATATACGAGTATTAAATGGGGTTCTAATAACAACGTAACTAGTAGTGAATTTCTACAGCAGTTTTAACACGGCAGCATATATATGAGTATTATATGGGTTTCTAATAACAACGTAACTATATAGTGAATAGCAGTAACAAACGCAGACGATTATTCGCACCCTGAGCTTGAATATTATGTATTTGTGTCTGAGGAAGAATGCATGTGCGAGCGAGCACGCACGTCGGAGTATTGTCATCCATATAGACTAACCAACTTCAACTAGTCCTTAATAAGCAGTTATTGTGGGAGCCAGTCGCATGGTATTCCGCTTCATGCAACAGATTTGCACTGACTAGGGACAGCGTTTCTTTCCTAAATATTCAAAAACGGTCATTTAAAATGAATAGACAGGTCCCAATTAAATTCGCGTGTAATGTGAGTCATTCGATAAACACGCGATCGTTATAACTTTCTCTCCCGGCTATTAGACACACGTATTTGAGCATGCGTTCATAAATGCCTGCATGTAATGAGGATTGCGTTTTTTATCTCATGCATACAGGAGCACGCGCCTGAGAGGATGTGATTGACATTTTTTCCGAGCGAAAAGCTATTATCCAATTCTTCTGCGTTGCGTGCATTGTTAATGACATAAGTTTTCCCATCAATCTTGTCATTAAGTTGCATCGCTAATGCAGTCAACAATTACCATTGACGGCCGCGGAGGATACTATGCCGTTCACTTAGCATAATGACTTTACATGCTCATTATTTGCTTTTTATGCTCGGATGTCCTGCTTGTTATGATGCGCACACCTCAAGTTGTAAGATATAAACGTCCCTCACCCATCAACCAACACCATTCTTTCACCCACTAAGATACTCGTACTAGTCACTCACCAACCTATCAACTTACATTCACTCTCGCACCCAACCATCTGCATACACCTACCCCACCCTACCACGTAACATTCTCTTATCCTCATGCCTGCCTCCCATTCACTTACCCGACAATTCGCTCTTCTACGACCTAAATCTACCACCCATCAAGATTCCTCCCGAGTCGCCTATCCAAGCTTATTCCATCTGACCACTTACTTATATATGTATATATAATAGATATATATATATATATATATATATATATATATATATATATATATATATATATATATATATATACTCCTGTATAGATCACCTACTTCACATCCCCACTCCCCGCAACCCCGCACATGTAACCGCATGCAAACTCCCGATCCACTACCACTCATTGGAATTCATGCGTAAAACGAAAATCGCTACAGGGCTGCAATCCGCGTATAGCAGCGGCTCAACGGGGCGAGCCTCGAGGCATGGCGACGAACGATGGCCGCCCTTCACGACACGCACTAACTACGCTTTGATCGGCTACACGGGTTCCTGCGCGCAATCTTCCTTATTGAATAAGACCAAGCGCTCTGGAAGCAACTTCATTTCGCTCATCGATTTTACGCCGAAACCAACGCCACATTTAAAAGACAACTGCTTGCTTAAATTACCATAAAAGGCGAGTTCTGGAAATCCATTAGAAGAGCGGACTTTGCCGACCGAAAGCCGGACAGCGCCATGTTGTTCATCGGAAACAGGAAACACGGACGATCCGATCACTGGAGCTTTATAGCGGAGAGTGAGGCAACATCGGGTTGTGCAAACTGGTACTGTAGCGCAGTGATAGAGACAGAAGGGGGAGAGAGAAAGAGGGGGAGACAGCAATGTGCAGTATAGACTGACTTTATCAATTAAAGACGCAAGCGCACAGCCACACGTGGTGTGAGGGGAGAGAAACAAAGAGACAGAGTGAGAGAAGGAGTCAGCGCGAGAAAGAGAGAGAGAGAGAGAGAGAGAGAGAGAGTCAGCAATATCATGAGGAATGAAGCGACGATGACGACGACGATGGCGATGATGCTTGCTAATGCTATTAACATGCAAACGCGCTATAGATGAGCGAGCCGGTGGTGGGGGTTATAGTCTAATTACAAACCTGCCAACATTGCAATTACAGATTGCTGCAGTCAGTGAAGGGTACGGGAGACGACACGTGTTTTCTCAGTGAGTTATGCTTATCCAATTCACACTCATTAACAAATACGCTCGAATCATTGATTCGGAAACGTGTCAGTGACCGAAAAAATAACGTTTTCGTTGAAAGCTTCGTCTGTATAATTATTTTATCAGTTCGTCGTGCAAATGGCATAAATCGAGGATTGACCTTAGGCGGTTCAGAGTAGAGACTTAAACTGACTTACGCGTAGTTGCCTATACTTATGTCGGACCTGCTGCGCAGAGTTGACGCATTCCGTCGAGATGGTCGCCGTCCCGGGACAGACCCTGCACCTGCGCTGTCCCGTGACGTCACGCGACAGTCTACAACCCGCTCTCGACGTCTCCTGGTATCACGACGACAAGCTCATTACTTACGACGATCTCAACCTCCTGACTACCGCCGGAGGACTGGTGTTAGTTACCGTTACGCACCTACAGAGGGCGGGAGTGTACAGATGCGAGCTGAGCGGGCAGACGGTCGCCAGCTACGCCGTGCTGGTGAACAACGGTAACTCACGCGCCGCTACTACCTGCTTTATATTACATCGAGACGGTCGACGAACAAACACCGTGTGCGAGCGATGCATATATAGCATAGCATTAGCACATGCACAACAATACATAGCTTATCGTGCGTAATGCGTTCCTGGGAAACTCACCGATATTATGCGAAGCGGCAAAAAATCGAAGAAGATTAATCATAACATTAAATTCGGTGAGATTAGCTAGGCAATTCATTTCACGTAAGAAATCTACTTTTAATATAGTTAAAAATAGACCCGCAATGAAGTGAGTTTGAATAAATTGAAAAAACACGACAACCCCTATTGAACGAGACACCCGGTTTATGCGAATTTGTTGTTATAAATATAGTGCATATTTCGTGTCAGCTTAACGCGCTGGTGTCCCTGCGTTGCCGTGCTCCGGATTACACAGGAGATGAAACATGTTAGGCGCATTTCTATCATTTTCAGACATTTGCAAAGTACCGGTTACCGAATCGCAATATCAGGCGAAATATTCCGACTGGTGTCAAGAGTTCGAAACGTACAGAAGTAATCTAGCGAGCTGGGCGAAACTCAGAAAGGTGCGTCAGCTAAGCATCGTGCCTGATTAGATCTGGTGATAATTATTGATAATTTAATTGATTGCGAACGGAAACTAATTAAACTAGTTGACTAATTAAACTAAATTAAATAAAATTAAAATAACTAATAACTTTTTGTTGCAGACTTGTGGAAGTAGATAGTTTACCGAGCATACCTCAACCAAACCATGGCGGCCGAATGCGGCTAGAACTTTCCGACAGAGACATCGATGTCCCAACGAGCTGTATTGTAACTTGTATATATATACATATATATACTCTATAGTAGTATTATATATTATATATATCGCTCGTGATGTGTGTGTGTGTGTTTGTATGTATGCGCACTGTCGGCTATATTATAGTAATTAAGGTTTATGTGATCGCCGTAATCACTAATCTCAGGCAGTAAAGATTACGTAAAAATGTGGAAAGGTAATATTGGTCTATTATTAAATGCTCATTGACATGCACACACACACGCGCACACACACACACGCACACACAAATGTGCCGCACACACCCGCGAACACGCGCCCACACATGCACACTGTCACCATAACACAGGAACGCATTGCGCGTATCACACACACACACACACATACATACACCACATTTACTATAGATTTAGATGTATTATATACTGTCGGTATGTACATTCAAATACTATAGTCATATGCCGCGAGGCTATGGAACAGAACGCCCCGCCCTCTTGGTCTTGCGTCAACCTCTTGTGTAATAGATCTCGCTATTCATGTACTATATGGCTCTGCTTCATACGACTATAAGACTTGAAAGCACACGCTAGCTAGCTCTCCGTGTATAGTTTCTGCCGTCTCCCAGCACTGTGGGTCATCTAGCCATGTCGCGGGAGTGAATAGCTACAGGGGTAGAGCTTATACGCGAGCAGTATTATTCTTATTCTCCGCCGTCAGCAATAGAGTGTTCGACACCGTAAAGATCGTTTCGGACGGGTTTATTGATTGATAGAGACCTACTAAAACTGATGCGGAACAAATTGTCCTTTGTCTGACATGTAGGCTTCGGGCCGTTCAAAAAGTCACTACGAAACTAAACGCATATTTTGAATATCTGTGTTAGTTAATGTTTATTGTCCTTCGCCTGAACGTTTATGGTTAATAAGGAAGGGTTCAATTCATGCTCGCACAGTACGCATAGTAGGTTGTTTATATGGCAATGCCTGGCAGGCGCGAAACTGACACACATGCCATGTCTCGGTCTCTGATCTCTGGACAGTGGTATCAGTTTATCTCATTATGTTGTTATCGTTGCGTTACGTGGATTTTAACAGGCGGTCTGAGAAACCGCGTAATTACGTGTGTTTATTTAACTACTAGTCTATTACTGTGACGTTTCACACTTGGTGAAGGGAATCTCTCACCGAAATATTGCGTTACGAATCGTTGCGCCATCTGCCGAAAACCTTAATTGTGTTTTCTTAACATTGAAATTTTGCCGATTGCTGTTTGTAATCAATTTCTCATAATTGATATTTTGCAAAAGTAGCGCAAGATACGTTGAGATGTCATGTATGTATATAGAATAAAGGTTATTATAAAAGTAATATATTATATATAATATAATATATATATATATATATATATTATATATATTGGAGTCTCTATTATGTGATTATCCGACCTCTCGTCACCGACATTCAGTTTTATCTGATATAGTCAATCTGTGTGCCAGATATGCAGTGCACAGTTTTATACTGCGCGCGCAGTATGAGAAATCTAGAAAACAAACTTCGATCATTCATTTTTTAACAATTCTCTATCATTTGTTGTGTGTGTCGTATTATTTGAGTTATATTGTATAATGATTACTAATAAACCAAATTCCATTATCTATACTGCATGGCCATTTCTTCTGTGATCCCCGCTCTGTTATTCTTCTGTGATGCCCGTTTCTGCATTATCCAACATTTACGATTATCCGACCACATATTAGTCCATTATACATCGGATAATCGCGACTCAACCACAACACACAATACAACCATCATACCACATTTGCCATCACACTACTACTTCGTGACTAGTGTTGACGAACCTTATAGAAATCTATAGATACTATTATTCTACGTTGTTGGAATTTTGATGTCGTAAAGCTAGCGCATCTTAGTGTTAGTAAAGCGAGGCATTGGAATCGAAAATTTTTGCATCACCTTACTCGAGAGTCTAACACATACATGGGCGCAAATGCCATGGGAACACGGGGGACACCTCCCACCACTTTTCGAATGGTAGGGGACACAATTCCAAATGCATCCCCAAGGTTTTTGAACATGTGCTTCTGCATAATTATAAGCCCCTTCTATAATATTATTATTTTGAGCTTGTCTCCACTAAATGGAAAAAATATAAAAAGTATAAAAAATGACTCCCGATTTATAGCTTAAACTGAATACAGAAACCGCGACCGTATACTGCTGCTTGGTCGCCTATAGGTAGAGGATATTGAAAGTATTTGCTAGTCTCGAGTTTCCGAATCTTGTCACTCGATCCATATCCGACCCTACAAGCATGCACATGGATTTAATGTAGACTTGTAATATGTAAGGCTAGTACGCACTCGCTCGCTATACTACTCGCTATACTACTTGCTATACTTCGCTATACTAGCTCTGCAGTAGCTATTGATATCTGTGGTAGATATGTACAATCGTATATATATTATATATACATATTATTTAGGTCGTACGTACTGCACTCCTAAGCCCCTAACATTTTTTTTAACATAAGAATTATGATTTTAAAATGAAGACGTGTCATCCTACCATAGATTTATATGATAAAATTCAATCAGTAAATCTCAAGATAGAAATAGTAAGCAAACTGTCCAGCTGCATATACCAGTCAGTACATAACATGGTTACGTTACTGTTTTAGCGCATGCGCAATATCTCACCAGAGGAGTTTTATTTTTTTATGAAAATGCATTTAGTTTGGTCAGGAGGTATCTCAGTATTTATTTCATATATCATTTCTCTATTAAATTCGCATCGTTAGTTCTGTGTTTATAAACATATTAGCACCTGTGCTATATATATATACGTTATATTAGGAAGGCGCACTAGCCT